TTAGTGACAGTAGCGGCCGCATTCATAAGGGAGGTGGTTAGGCTACATGTGATACCATAATCTATAGTATGATAGAGATAAAATATTCCTCAATCATTTTTGGAGAGAGTTGTTCAGGCTACAAGGGACAGTGTTGAAGAGGAGCAACACTTACCACCGCTAGATAGACTGGCAGACATAAGTGATGAATAGGAGCTTGGAGACATACCTGCGGTGTTTTGCTTTAGAAACACCTAAGGTATGGGCCAAGTGATTGGTTAGGGCAGAATATAGGTACAACACTTCTACCACTTGGCCTCCAAGATGACTCCCTTCAAGGTGTTGTACGGAAGGGACACTCCCCACTTGGTATATTTTCGGTAGATTCGCACGCCAGTATCTTTAGTAAAACAGTATTTGGAGGAAAGGAATGTGCTGTAAGAGTTAAAAAGACACCTGCTGATAGCTCAACAAATTATGAAAGCAGGTGGAAGGACACTTAGTTTGTCATTGGAGATAGATTATTCTTAAAGCTGCGACACTACAAGCAGAGGATAGTAGCCAACATAAGGAATGAGAAACTAGCCCCGTGGTACTTTGGCCCTTATGAGGTATTGGAGAAGATTGGAGCAGTGGCTTATCGCTTGAAATTATCCCCGGCTACTTCCATACACCCACTATTCCACGTATCACACTTGAGGAAAATGGTGGGGGATCATGCAGCTAGTTCAAAATTATCAGGGACACTGACACTGGATCTAGAGATGGTTTTGAATCCACTAGAAATTAAAGGGGTGCATCAAGGAGAATGAAAGCCCAAAGAAATATGGATCAAGTGGAAGAACTTGCCTGACTATGATACCACTTGGGAGCCATATGAGAGGGTAAAGCATTAGTTTTTGTACTTCCACCTTGCGAATAATGTAGCTCTTTGGGAGGAGAGTATTGTTAGATTGGTCTCTGGATGGTCCAGCCGGTCCAAAAGGGACCGGTTCAGATTTATAAGAGGCGGAACAGTGAGGTTCCGCCCCCTTCTCTGTCCCCCTTTCATAGTGGGGTCCACATGCTTGATTAGGGGAAATTTGGGGGGGGGGGCGCGGTTATGAGGAAAAATTCAAATTGAAAGGTTTGTTTTGGAATTAACCTAATTAATGTATGCTTAAGTATGTTTTGGTAGCAAGAGTTAGATTTATATCTCTGTTTTTGTTGTAATTTTCTGGTTTTTAGTTTTTGTTTGGGCTCTAGCGACATCTAGAAATTTGGGAGAGCCAGATCTTCCTCTCAAATAGAAAATATATTGTATCTTGTTGTTTTTCTTCATCCATTATCAGTTAAAGGAGTTCAATTCTAGTTTTCTTTCCAAGTTCTTCTCAATTTCTAATTTGCTAGGTGCTGAAAGTTAGATTCTTATTTTCCTACAAGCATTTCCTAACATAAGCCTTCCTTGAATGGGGGGATCTCCTCAAACTACGCTGCTAAGAAATCTCTGATGGGACCTACAACAAGTTTCCATCACAACACCAGTTTTCAACAGCTCCTCTCCTCTAAACATCTTTGTTTGATTGAAACCTCAAAAAGGAACTTCGTATGCTTCCAAGTGCCCTTAGATGAACAATTTTTCGCTATGATAAAGTCTTAAAACTCCTCTCAATCCTCCCTCTTGCAAGCTGTTTTTCCATTTTCCCATGGTCGCCAAACATTCTACAACCAACTCAAGCCATCGGCAACCACCATAGGGTTCTCAATTACCATCGGTGCCGTCCAAGCTTACTAAAAAACCCTGCATAGATTGTTGGGCCATAACCCAACAAGGCCCGACCAGGAGATAGGGAGAACTAAATATAAGCTGTGAGGCTCCACCACTTTCAATCCAATAATCAGCTGCCACCTACATCTAGTCAGGCCACTGATTAATTTGGCTGAATTCCTTAGTCCAACAAAGCTTTGGGGCATAGCATGACCCAATTAACCTATTATGAAAACACCCAAGAAAGCACAAGTTTAATCTAAGCCTAAAACTATTAGGTGGTGCTAAGTTAGAATCATATGGTGATAAGTTAACATTATGTGGCGCTAAGTTAGCATCTTGTGGCAGTCAAAAACTCAATCGTTATTTCCCTATATCGGGAAGCCAATGCTCCTCTCCCTGAATAGGAAGTCTGCCCTTGCCTTCCTAGATAGGGAATCAGCATTGATCTCCTGAGATGTGGGAAAAGAACCTCCCTCCTTATAACAAGAAGCCGTCCGCCATCTCCCATCATGTTGAATTTATTCACAATCATAACTTTATTGATTTTGTATAAATTGCATTATTGTTTTGTTAATGAACCTATTTATTTAGCCACACTTTAAGTTGACATTTTGGCATAACCTTAAGCTCTGGTATCAAATCTAATTCGAGGAATCTTAAGCCTAGGGTTTACTAATGTAAATCTTAAACAAAATGAATAAAATCACGTACACAACTTCAAATTCTTAACTCACAAACTTCCAATTTAGATAACTATTCAGCCCTTTAGATGAAAAGGGGAAATACACAATATTAGTAGAAATGATAAATTAATAGTCTACTATAAGAAATAATATAAAGAAATATGGATGCATAAAAATCACATGTTTGGTTAGAAGGAAAACATGTCGCAATCTAAAACCAGATTATATCAAATTTAATAAAATTTAAACATGATATCAGATCAATTACAGGTATTTTCATATAAAAAGTCGAGAAAAACAAATAATCATCAAACAAAAGAACAAAGACTCATGAGGATATAACTTCCCGTGAAAAACTTCAATCCCCAATAGCGCCATGTGTAGATCAGAAGAGAATACATCCAATTATAAATTCATTGTCAATTTGTCATGGTAGAAAACATTTCTAATTTTTTATATGCCCCAGGTACCTCTATTTATAATCCTAAATCTCCCTCACTTACAATTAAAAAGCTAGAAGATAGAATTTACAACCCTATACGAACCAAAAGAAACACAAAGAATCAAAGATCACATCACCAATGCAACTCAAAGATCACAAGGCATAGGGAGATGCTCAAAGGATCACAAAAAAGATGTAGCACGACTAGGAGTTGCAAAAGACCCACAAGATCATACATAAGATCACGCAAGGCACACTATCAAAGGATCCCACCGATAAAAGATATGTAGAAAATCAAACCAAAGCAATAGATAGATCACAAGGAACTGAAATGAAAGGAAATTATAAGTCCTGCTAAATCGTTGAAGGGGAATTCTGCATCTGAAGCACTTCAAAAGAAGGGCACCCCAATAGAAAGCATGCAAAGCTCATATGGAAAACAACAAGCAGATATCATAAACAATTAAACAAAAATGCTAATCACAAGCAAGTCAAAGACATATAAAAGGAGTCTCAGGTTGGTCTATATTTTCCATTTAGGTTCAAGGCGCCTTTTTTTATGCACAGTTGGTCCTCGAGTTAAATTGTCAGTATTCATGGAGATCCTTTTCTATTAACAATATTAACGTTTCTGTCAAATTCAGTTGCATGAATAACTTGTTGTTGAGTGCAGTTACACTCTCCAAACAAATTCACAAGAAAAATACGATTGGGCTCCATTTTGATCAGCTGGATTGATCACAGTTGGAAGGGAATTACATACATTTCTGTTTGGGAGAGCGTTAATTTACCTAACTAAGCAAAATGGAAGCAGCGTTTTGTGTCTTATGTGCTGAGATAAATTTTTAATACAATCATTGCCTTCATTATTAGCCTTATGCCAATAGTTTGGCAGCATAATTTTTTATATAATGCTAAAGAATGTTTAAAATAATATATATATAAATCAGTATCAATAAGGAAAGCCTACACTGACATTTGGTTAAGAACAAAGTTTAGCAGAACATCAGAAACTATCAAGTATTTTTGAGACATGTTATTATACTTACGCAATCTAAACTACAAACAAAAGAAGTAGCAAGCAAACATCAACAAATGAAAACCAGTTTGCAGTAGAAAACAAAAGGATACATTACAAGCAAGTCCCTGAGGAATAAGAGGAGTTTCAAGTTGGTCTACATTTTCTATTCAGGTTCATGGCGCCTATTTGATGCACAAGTTGGTCCTTGAGTTAAATTTTTGGTCCTTACGGAGATCCTTTTCAGTTAACAATATAAAGTAATTTGTTAAATTCAGTCTCATTTAACTTTTTGTTGAATGCTGCTACACTTTCCGAAGAAAAAAATCAACATAAAAATTTGAATTAAGCTCCACTTTGCTTAGGTGGGCCTATTAAAGTGGGAAGAGGATCACACAGGCTTTTGTTTTTTGTTTAGAAGAGTGTTGATTGACACAACTATAAGCAAAGTGCAGCCCAATCTCATTTTTTAGTGTGGACTTGTTTGGGGGAGAGAAATTTTACTCCTTTTTCTTTGAAACACAAATTCTCAAAATTTTTTTTATTATTTATTTTTTTATGAAAGCACCCCATTGAAAAAGTCAAGCTAATATTTGCAAAATGAGCTTTAGAATTTCTCACAATTTGTAAGGAATATTTAGCCAATCTTTTTTAGCAACAAATGCCAAATATTATGCATCCCCAACCACTTCTTGGCCTTCTTTTGTTTTCCTTGTTGCCTACGGTGGTATCCTCAATAGTTAACACGCAATTCTCTACCTTGGACTTCGTCTCAACAAGTTTCCTCTATTTTGGTGCCTTCTCGGCTACCTTCTCCTCCCCAGCATGTTGTCCATCATTTTCCTCTAGTTCTTGGGCATCATTTTGATTTCTAGACATGAGAGAGAGGAAATAGAAGGAATCAAAAGTAGGTTAGGAGGCAAAGAATGATTACGAGATATTTTTTAGCAAGAAAATTTGAGAAAAATTGGCACTTTATACATTTTAATTTTTATTTGTGATTCAGTTAACCAAATTGAAGTGTCTTTATATCCTGGTGATTCCACTTAAGGATTTTTAAATAAGGGACCTCACGTGAAGAGCTTTTATACCTCAGGGACTTGTGTAATTTACAAAAAATGAATTTACCTCCCATATTATAGCAGAATTGTCTCGAGATGATGATGCCAATAATTTCCCATTGTTTGAGAATTGCACAAACCATACTTCATCTCCATGTCCTTGTAAGACCTAATAATACCATTAAGAAGCTTAAAGTTCAGCACATGAATGTTGTTTATTAGAGAGGAAGAGACAGAATAAATTAAAAGCCACGTTTATATCTTAGAACATTAAGTTAAATGGTAGATTAGGGCTCACCATGGACAAACACTAATTTGCATAAAAAACACAATAGCTATGATGAAGCCAATCCTAAATTTATTAGTCCATTTGGATTCAACATACAACTTTATTTCATGCTATTTACATTTCTAATGCTAAAACTTTAATATTACATGTCTATCACCCATAGAACAAATATGGGTGCATGGAATGAAATATTGAAGTTTATAGGGTGGTATGGGTGGTAAGAATGAAATATATGAGTGATATATTTGATATTAAAATTTTATATGAGTGGTAGGAATGTAATATTAAAGTTTTGGGTGTTAGATATGTAAATAGCATGAAATAAAGTGGCATGTATGTAAATCCCCCAAATAATTAATAAGGATAGCAAAACAAAACTTTTGAATTAATTTTTAAGCAACCAGGAGTATTTGCAACTAGAATCTTGAGCCAACAATTCAAATTAATATGGGCTTTACCATTCCTATGACCATTTATTACATATACAGATATCACCACATAATGCATAATGTTTTGGAACTTTCTCTATAAAATAATTCAATTAAGAACATAACTTCTCATAAAACTACTGCACATGAAATAATGAGGATCACAATCAAACAGGCTAAATCTTGCATTGATATCTATTGTTGTGCTATGGTGTCAATTTAAGTAGATGATTGTTTCATAAAATTATGTTAACATTGATGTCTTAGAAGTGTTGCAATAGTTGTAATTTTTTAATCAAAAACTTTAGTGACAATGACATGCCTTAGTTTGATGGACGAAATAAACATTATTATGTATTTTATACAACTATAATATCATGCCTCAAACTGTGTGTGTGTGTATATATATATATATATATATATAAGATAGATAAAATATATAAAAAAATGCTTTTCTGGAAACTTTCAAAACCACCATTCTCAGAAGCTGCTATTAAATTTTCATGCAACTGAACTTTTTCCCACATATTCTTCCAAACATCATATAACTAATTCTGTTGTTCAAGGAAACGAAAAACAGAAAACAAAAACATAAGAAGAACAGAACCTTAACATCACTGCACTATGCACTTAGCAAACTAGATGCGATCGATAGAATTTTTGATAGATTTGTCAAAAAATAGATATGAAGAAAGCATCCCACAATAATGAAGTGATTCTCAAGTGGATACCATTCCAGACCTGGGTTGTTTGCGACGGAATCTGGTCTTCTCTACAATGATGATCCGTGTACAATGTTAAGCAACTATCCAAGGAATTATGGAAATAACAAGCCTCGCGTTGAACATTTAGCGCCTGCTCAATCAAATGTTCTAGCCTTCCCTCGGGTATCATAAGTGCGGGAGGGAGCACTTTCTGCAATTCATTGAGAAGATTTAGCCTTGAGCTTGATTTTTTAATACCATTTATAGAGCCAAGTGAGAGATGCAGAGAAGGACAAATAATACACGCTGAAAGTTCATGAACTCGCTTAGGCTTAATCCTAAGAGGAGTAATTTCATTTCTTAGTGTATTCACTGCATCCAAAACTCTATCCATCTCAAGAAATTCACAGAACTTATACTCCAATATCATAAACGATGCAAGCTTCAGCACATCATCAGAAATACTTATTTTGTTCAAAGTAGCCAAACTACCATCCCAATTTCCATCAAGCACTTGCTTCCTAAAACAATCTACCAATGGTGAGTGTAAGGGTATTCCTGACTCTTCCTCCAAAATAGCTCCACTCCTATCATATCCAAGAGAATAAAGAGCCTTTGTAATGATCCTAACAAACTCAGACCTCTTAATAATTCCCTTGGAGCCTATCATATCTTTGTTCCCATGGGGTGTCAAAGGTCTGGCCATTTGACCTCCCAAAGGATCAATATGATTTGCGGGAGATGGAATGCTATTTGAAAAGCCCTGTAGTCCTGCAATGGTTTCTTTCACACGCTTGGATGGTGGTTCACGATCGTCTATACGTCCCATGAAATTGACAGTTAGCCCATGTATAACTGATTGCAGACAAGATGGAAAGTTCAAAATATCTCGAATCAATGGCTCCTGATGCAAAACTGTGAAACCATAAATATAGGTTATTACAGGGCATATTTGAGCAATTAATAACAATCCCATGCTACAAAACAATTTCTGAGAATTTGAGTCGACATTCTTTTATATTGAGGATTTATGCTTAGAAGTTCATCTGTGACTGATCAAAACAAAACAAAATTTTACTGGATTACTACAACTGAATTAATGAAATTACAGTAGTATGGCATAAATTCAGAATGGCTTTGCATCTGTCATCACAGAAAAAAAAAAAAAGCAAAATATATCAATACAGAGTTACAAACCAAATTTAATAGCGATATCTTCTCCTGGATCTATAGGAATCATCAGCATATAATACCATATAACATCTGTTATATCTAAAACCCACTCATTACAGAATCATATTCCTTGAAATAGAAAACTTGAAAGGAAAATAAGTAGCTTTGGTTTCAAATATTTGTTTAGGATTTGCTCAATTCTAGTAGCATTAATTGCCTGCCTCACAGATTGCAGATTTTTAAGGTGTTAGAAGAGTAGATGGGTTCATTACATCTGAATAAATCTGAAACAGCAGGTGCAAGTTTCACATGAGGTTTGGTTTCATCACAATCTCTCAGTCAATGCTCAAACTTTTTATTTAACAGAACGAAACTGATCTTTCTACCCCGTTGTTCAACCCAAAAAAAAAAAAGGAAAGATTAAACAAGGTATTGAGAGAAGAGGTTTAGATGAACAAATTACAAAGAATAATATCATGAAACTAGAAGAACAGTTAGCAATGACAAGCTAAAATAAGCCGTGATCCTTGCCGGCACCTATATTTTAAATTGCTAAAAAAGGCACCTTGCTGAAGCAAACCAGTAATATATCAACAAGATCAGTCATAAATGATTAGCTCAAATATGAAGCTGGCCCAGCGAAGTAGCTTTGTTTAGAAACATTTCTTTACGACTAGCTCAATTCTAATATAAAGGAATAACCTCCCTGGCAAGATCGTATGATTATATTTAACCAGATCGAAGTCGAGCAAGAAATTGCAAGATTAGTCTTCACATTTTGTTTGTCAGAAGCATAAGTAGGATCAAGAATCTCTGATAATCACATAAGGGTTGGTTAAACTCTATGCAGGATCTCCTTCTAGATTTATGCTTTTCATTGAACTGGTATTTCTACTTTTTTGTTCTAAAAGTAAAAAAAAGATAGGTATTGACTATTGAGAGTAGAAGTCTCAAAATCTGTAAATTCTAAAGGGATAATATTGAAAAACTGAAAGATCGGTCAGCAACAATTAGCTAACTCATTCAAGCATAACTCCTCCAAGATCCTAGCCTGAACTTATATTTAAGATTGTTAAAAAGAGCATCTTTGCAGCTGCAAACTAGAACCATAAGAAGACAAGTGAGCCACAAAATAAATAAATAAATAAATAAAAACAATATAACCTGATCACCACATTTCAGTTGATCAACATTCTAGGAAGCTAATTCCAATCAAGAAGGATAATAACTCTAAAAAGCCCTTCTCATGAATAACCAAACAAAACTAACAAAGAATTATTCAAATCGCAGCAGGCAAATCAGCTCTTAAAAAATTTATAAAAAAAAAAAATTAAAAATAGGTATAAGAATTAGGTCTCTAACCTCAAGAACAAAATCCCCAAAAGCAGTTCAAATCCTGAAAAAAAAAATACAGAATCTACGAAACCTAGAGGCGACTTCAACAGGAAACTGGTTCCATTAACAAGCCAACAGAAACAGCGTCCAAATTCAAAGACGGAAACAGTGGCGTAAAGGCTCAAAAGCCATCAAGAAAAGAAAAGAAAAGACATCTCCCACACTCTTCCATGACATTATTAGATTAATAATATTTGGTTAATCCAAAGAGTCGGCGTTCGGTTCCTCAAAGAAAGCATACGTCATTTATACAGGATAGAGATGAGATGAACATTGCAGACAGACCGAGAGTCAATTTGAAGATCCAAAGTTTTTTGATTTAGTGTGCTCTTCAATTGAGTCTTCGTTTGTGACAGCTTTTTTATTACTTCTTAAAATAGTTTCTTAATACAAATTATTTTACTTTAAGAAACAGTAAGAAAGTCATCTCAAACAAAACCTTAATGTCACATTTTATGTTGAGATAGTTTGAATAATTTTTTTGTTTGATCAATTATAACTCGTTTGTGATCATCTAATTAATCAATCAAACACGTTTGAATATTTTTTTAAAATGCTCGATGTTTTAATAAACAAAATTACATCATTAAACATACTTGAGTTCTCACAAAATGATCGAAAATTCATTAAAGAGCAAATTACAAAGCAATATTTCCCAAAATTACAAATTAAGCATTTAATTAGAGAATCAGTGACTAGTATGGAAATATGACAAAACAAAAAGTTATGCAGAATATTAATAAATCAGTGAGAAAATTTTAAAGACAAAACACATGAAAATTTTTTTTCTATCTACACATTGCAGGAAAAAAAAAATTTCAGCTCTCACTTAAATAAAAAACAGAGAAAGAAAAAATCGGAGAAAGGAAAGATCAAGGGAAAATAAATAAACAGCAAGTCAAGCAGGTCTCACCTACCAAAAATCAGAGAAAGGAAAATTCTGTTGAGCGCGTGTCTGAGGAAGGCAACAGTTCGGGGAAGAAGAAAAATCGGACAGGTTTCAGTCGGAGCAACAGCTGGGGAAGAAGAAGAAGAAATATGGGAGAGGATGAGTCGGAGCAGCGATCTGGGGTAGAAGAAGAAAAATCGGAGAGGTCTAGGCGACGCCGCGACGGGGGCGAGCGATGGCTTCGTTCCTTTCGGCAAATAAGGGCAACGGCTTCGCTTGACGACACGGGCGCCGCGGGTAAGTTTTCCGCCTGACTTTAAATCCCGTTAAATCCACCGAACTGAGGGATTTAGTAAATCCCGGATTTAAGCCGTAAATCCGTAAATCCGGGATTTACCGAATCCCGGGATTTAACGCGCGCACAAAAACTGTTTGGCTGGATTTAACTTAAATCCGACTTAAATCCCGCTGTAAATCCGATACCAAACAGCCCCTTAGTGTGCTCTTCAATTGATACAACGTTATTTTATAATAAAAATAGGTTTAATTTAGGCTTTGTTTGAGACGGCTTTTTTACTGCTTTTTAAAATAGAATTTTAGTACAATTTTTTTTTTTTTTTACTAAAACTCTATTTTAGAAAGCAATAAAAAAGCCGTCCCAAACGAAACCTTAGTCTTTGTTTGTGACAGCTGTTTTAAGAAATAGCTTTTTTACTACTTCTTAAAACAGCTTTTTAATACAAATTATTTTACTTAAAGAAGCAGTAAGAAAGTCATCTCAAACAAAACCTTAATGTCACATTTTATGTTGAGATAGTTTGAATAATTTTTTTCTTTGATCGATTATAACTCGTTTGTGATCATCTAATTAATCAATCAAACACGTTTGAATATTTTTTAAAATGCTCGATGTTTTAATAAACAAAATTAAACAATTATGTATTTGACTCGTTTATCTTAATGAACATTATCACTTGAAACTCGTGAACATGTTCCATAGGAGCTCGAAAAGAAGCTCGTTAGGATTGTTAAGAAGCTTGATTCTTATTTGATATAGAACATGTGAGATAATTAGTTGAATGTTTGATATAAATATTGATTTTGTATCATTAAAAAATGAACAATCTAATATAAATATTTTAGGCTTATTATAATTTAAATATATAGTAATTATTAAGTAATAAATTATAAAATTTTATAATATACTAATGAAAATACATCATAAATATCTATTAATTGACATTATATTATTATGTATAATTTAATTAAAATTATTTTTATTTTACAATATTATCAAGTTATGCATTTATTTTTAATTTTATGCATCATTAAGTCCTCATTAGCAGGGGTGTCAATTCGGGTAAACGGGTCGGGTTCGGTTCGAACTCGAAACTGACCCGACATTGTTCGGGTCAACCCGAACCCGATTTTCGAACCCAAACCCAACCCGATTCAGGTCTGGATCAACCTAACCCGACACAAATGACCTGAAGTTGATCTAAAATTGCTACTTTTCGGGTCAATCTTTAATTTTCGTGTCAAAATCTGGTCAATCTCGGGTTTCCGAGTCAAATACGAGTTTTCGTGTTAATTTCGGGTCATTTTCAGGTTGCTTGTTCAACCCGAACCTGACCCGATTTTTAAAATGGGTTGATTTGTTGAACTCGAACCCGACCCGTTTCAGGTTCGGGTTGACCCTAACCTGAATTTTTTCGGATTAGATTCGAATCGTGTTTCGGGTCGTGTCAAAATTGACATCCCTACTCGTTAGTCTTCTGCAATTACCAATGATTATCAACAAAAGGTTGATTTTAAAAACTTTTTGGGCACACTATTATAAATGTTTGGATGCTTAACCAAAACTTAGGAATTAATTGGTGTGATTAATTAGAAAGTCTTTGAACACATTATAGATTTATTTATTGATAGTGTTTGGATGCTTAACCAAAACTTAGGCATTAATATATATTAATTTATTTATTATACCAATGAGCCATGAAAGTTATCTTTTTTATTCTCATGACACTTAATGCATTTTCATGATTGTAGTTGTTTGCTCATCATATTCTCATGATATTGTTGGTGTGGTTTGGTTTTACTCCTTAATCTTCTTTAGTGGGCATAGATTGTAGTTATTTGCTTGTGATTTGCATAGCATTAGTTTCTCTAACTATAATTTTCTAGAAGGTACGTCAGAAATTTCACCACAACATATTAATTCTACGGAGCCAATGACTAATCTTTCGCAATACCAATGCGTGATAGTCAATTCAGTGTTGGGTCATCTTCAAGCGCAACAGTAATACATGAATATGATCAGAATGTAAATCCTTTTGCAAAAAAAATAAGAAAGAAGGCATCTTCAATATGACAAATTTTGAGCCAATGATTCATTCTACTTCTTTGAGCTAGTTTTTGGGTTTTTTTAAGGGGTCTTTTGCTTTTGTTTGTTTTCATGTTATGACTTATTTAGTGGCTATTTTACTTTTGAAACTCCTCTTTTTCATTACACTGAGTTATTAAATATATATTATTTCACTTATAGATACTTCTAACCAATGATATTAGTCAAGGAAATAAACTATGTAGCATATGAGTTTGACATTTTCTCAATTTTTGGCCTATGGTGAGCATATTACTTCTCACAATCTTTAGAGTGAAAAAATTAAGTTGATTATTTGTGAAGGGGTTTGTAATGTAGCCACTTGGAATGAATAATACATTTTTCCATTTGCCAAAACAATATATATTGGTATTTCAAAATTGAGTTGTCCAAAAATATTATTTCTTTATATTTTAAATGAAGGCTACTTGCTAATGCATTTTATTTTAGTTAATTTCTATCTTGGTACATGTGAGACCTCGTTCCCTTACTGTTCCTCTCTGATTTGAATTTTTCCTCTCAGGATCGTCCAGGACGATTGGAAATCGTCCAGGCCGATCGGTACTGTAGAAAATATCGGCCTGAGAATAGTTCTGGGAACCGTCCAGGACGATTTTTCTGGTCTGATCGTCCCGGGACGATTTGGCGATCGGCCGGGCCGATCAGACAACTGATTTAAAGAAATCAGCTCGTTTTGATGTTTTAAATTTTATAGATGTTTGATAGACTGTTAAATTGAAGGTTTTAGATAACTCTGGTAAATTGTTTGAAAAATTGATTGACATTCTTTCCAAGTTAGATCTTGGGGCATCACAGTACATTTGTTGCTCAGTGTGGATTTATATTTGGTGGATAGTTTTTTTTTTTTTTTTTTTTTTTTTTTTTTTTTTGCTCTATTGTGCTAATGGTTATTAGATGGGCTTTGATTTATCAGTTGAAAATAGATGCTACCAGTGTTTTCTATACTTTTTTATTTTATGTTATAGGCGATGATGAAAAGCTTTTTTGTCAATTTATAATGGTTCAACCTTGCAGTTTATTATCCAAGTCCCTTTTAAGATCTAAATTAATGCATAGTGTGGTTTTATTTTACTTCTTACCTTCGGAAGGAGCCAATGATTCATTCTACTTCATTGAGCTGATTTGTGGGTTTGTTTTTGAAGGAAACTTTTACCTTCTTTTTTTCCTGATCTTGCTAATTTTGTGGCTTTCTTACTTTTGAATTCCCTTTTTTTTCATTACACTGGGTTACTTAATATATGATCAAGATGTACACATTTGTGTTTGATAAATTTTTTGGTTTCAATGTTCATGCATTAAGAAGCTCGTTCATTAAAAGTATCATTTATGAGCTCGTCAAACTACTCGTTCATAGGCTAGAGAAAGATCGATAAGCTTGATCATTTATGAGCTTGATAAGCTTGTTCGTTTATAGGCTTGATAATAGTTTGTTAATATACTTGATAAGGCTCATTTATTAAGCTAATGAACATCTCGATTAGGCTCGTTTGTTAATAGCTCAATAAGGTTTATTTATTCATTTAAATGAGGCCGCACATTCAAAGTATTTAAAACTCGAATCAAGCTCGAGCAAGCTTTTAATAAATGAGCTCAAAAATGAACAAGCATCAGCTTGACTTGGTTCGTTTGTGGCCCTAAATATTAATAAGATTAACTTAAAAAGTGATTTAATTGAGTGTATATAAATTATTGGAATCAAAATTACTCCTAGGCAGCACCTTTTGCCCTACTCACGAGACAAGCTAACATATTTTAAAGCAAGAAAGAAAGAGGATGGAGAATAAGAAGAAATACTTTGAAGATCTGTTTATCTTTTGCAAATATTATTGAAATGAAGTCCAAAAAATATCTACAACCCCATATTTATAGGGTTAGGTCAGCTATAAGAGATGTTATACCCAAATAATAATAAAATAAATAGATGATTTGACAGTTACAAACGCGTTGATGG